TATTGCACAAATGAATACAAAAAGTAACAGCATCTTTGACAAAATATCATAAAACTTGGAATATCTTTTTTCTTCTACATTAATGGCAATTGCATAAAACGTACTATGAAATGTGAATTAATCTTTTACATACAAACAAAACTGGTTCTCTAACTAAAACATGTGGAGATTCTATGCATTTGAACATTTCTACTTGGCCGGCGTAGCTTTTTGATTTATAAAGGAGTTCAGAAATATTATAATAGACATTTATGTCTATTAAAATACCAACAAGATTAACCAAAAAAAAATGTCTGTCTAAATTCACTGGTGTGAACGGTATAGAAAATTCAACATTTTTTATGATTCAACAATTTTCCTTTGTAACCTACCACTACTACAATAACAAATGCATATTAATTTCGGGAAAATATCAACTCCTTGGTTTCGTTTCTAAAACCAGTGACTTTTGACTCCTCCCATCAATGAAACACGAAGTTTTTTATTCTATATACGTCACAATCGCACATTCAAACTTGAGAAAGATCGTTTCAATATGTGTGGACAGTTCTGCAATACTAATGACACATTCTACCAGTTTGATAATGCTCCAATTTCTGAAATATAATTATTTAAATTACAGCGATTTATTAATTTTTGGTGGATGCACATCTCGTTCTTTTTTTTCTTCAACTGAACACACACTATAACTCCCAAAGAATTCCATCAATGCATTTTACACGGTTGGGACGTTTTCTTTCTTTGCAAAAGTAAACATCACCAAAATAAATACTAGAATTCAATTTTAAATAAATAGTTGTTCACGGAGAAGTGCCAAATTGCAGATTTGCCCTCACAAATATGTTACGAACAAAAAGAAAACCGGTCGTCCTACATGTGCTTGTTGTTTATGTTTCCACACCTACATGGAAATAAACCACTACTACATGTACGTGTAGCAAAGTACTCTTCCTGAACAATACTTTGTAATAGTTTGAAAATAACTACAGCCGATTCACAACCCAAAGTAAACATTACACCTCAAGTTTCAACCCTGTAAATTTACTATCAGACAAACTCTGACATGTGAACATGTAATCTTGACATGAATGCAGCCGCTGTGGAACACGTGTCTGACGTCATTGATGGAGAACGTATTCAATCTTCTCGTGCACGGATGAGTCACTGAAATTTAAAAAAAACACTTTACAAAACTATGTCTATGGGTTGTTTTAATAAATCAGTTTTTAATATACTGCAACCGATTTCATTAATGATATTCAACATCCACTTTTCAACTTTAAAATTAGACCAATGCTAACACGTTCTCTGTAATGTGCACTTTCAAACAATATCATATCTATTCTTACACCGTGTACAAACTGTTACCCAACAGCGTTCTTTGTCTTTAGAATTATATTTCAGGGAGCAAGAAAAAGATACAGGAGCTCGGATAACGTATAACATCGCGGAAGTGAAATTTTAGAAATAAACATGACAGGAGTGTAGTAAAAACAAATTTACGAGATCTTAGAAAAAAAGAACAACACATTCAGGACATGTACACGTTGGCGGGTAGGAATTTCCTGAGGTTGATTTTGGATATTTTAAAAACAAATCAGGACCTACTAATGTAGTTACCTGCCAAAATGTCTCACATTGTTTAAGGTGGAAGACGCGTTCACAGCTGGAGCAAAACTGTCACCACCTGTTTACTGGCAAATGCATTGCATCTGAAAATAATCACAGAAAATGAACGCCAGGTTTAAATTTCAAGTTGAATTTGGACTTTTTATGGAAAATTTTGTTGACGCCAAGACAAAATATCCCCTTGATGCCTTACGTGCAAATTAATTTAACAATTTTTTTTGGCAAATATCATTAACGCTAAATAACAAATGCTATTCTCCATTATCTATACAGTACTTACAACAAATCGATATCTATTTCAGTCTCAGATTTCCGACCATTTCGTGGAAATTGAAGCAATGAGACACAAGGCTTTCTTCTCCATCTTCTACTGGCCTTGGTCCTTTCTGAACACCTCTCACCAAAATACTCACCTAGATTACATAATAATATATACTAGACCACCTTCCGTGCAGGAGCCTCGATTTCAGCTTTAGCCTTTGCTAATGATACACAGCAATCGTGCCACCCAATCCCATGAGACAGGAAAATTACCCAAGCCCACCCCTAACGCACATGAAGGTATTCAGTAATGAAATGCAACGTCATGAGCTGTATCCATTTACCCGAATAGATCTGAGTAGAACAGACAGAAATAAAAGAAATAACAAGTTGAGAAAGGTTTGAATCAATTTACTACATCCTCTGCTATCGTCCAAAATAAATTCGAGTTGGTAATCTTTTCAAAAAAAAAAAAAAAGAAAAAAAAAAAAAAAAAAATCAAGCGTTTTGAAAGTTTACAATTGTTGTGTTTTGAAAGAACTGTGATATATTTTCTACATCTCAAATGCAGACTTGACATTAAACACACCTTTATTATTTGAATTGCATTGTTGTTGTAAATTGTGTATTTCTACATACATAACTGGAACAATTTTACATGAACACTTTTCCTTCCATAGTCTCAAGTCCACAGTGGTTAATCAGTCTAATTAATGAACACGAAAAAACTTGAATTCTTGCGCAACAAATTTCCAGGTTCATTAATGTTCGGGTAAGGCGGAGTCTTCGATTTCCTCGCGTGATGCGGTGCTAGAGTTAAAATTGGGTTTCTTCGTCCTTGTGCTAATCTATGGCTCCAGATCACTAGATTCTATCATCACACTTTTTCTTGAAATTCTTTGAATGATCGCAGTAGTCTTTGAAAAAATATGCTTTCCTTCTTATTGAAGAGTTTTCCAGAAAGTACAGGTACATGTAGGTCAGTTTTCATGTAAAAATTGCGAGAAGTCCAAGAAGGCTTAAATCGTGGCATCCGTCTTAGAGTCTACATGGTCGCTCGAAGGTGCATATTCTAACCAAAAAGAATTGAACAACACGTCTTTTGTCAAAAAACATCCTTTATTACAGTGAAATGATGGAGAACATACTGTACATAATATTGTCATGCATGGACTCAAAACCAAAAAATACTCTTTTACAAGTGCTTAAAAATCAAAATTAATATATCTTCATACTTAAACAACACTGCACTAACACTAATAGAATTATCAAAATCTCAAGTACGACATTACAGTATCGATAGCTTCTACTCAAACAAATGAAAAATAATTCACTGAAAAAGGGGAAAAACAGCATAACTTTTGGAAAATGATCCAATTAATTAAGCCAATTCTCAAACTCAACCTGTATTTTATGAATATTCATCAGTTCTGTAAATTTAAAGACAAAAGATAAAACTGTTTTCATTTCATATGTACATTTATAAAGGTGGATAAAATATACCAAAAAAATGTTTACCTTTGCAAAAATGTTCCTATCAAGTTGATTTTCAAATTTTATCTGTATTCTATAAATATTTATCAGTTCTCCAAATTTGAAGACAAAAGGTCAAATAGTTCTCCACTTATAGTTATAACACTGAATGTGCACAGCAACGACAGACACAGGTGACAGCAATATGTACAGACATCTGTCTGTAAATAAAAATCATATATATATGTGTTGCGATGGTGTTGGTCAAATTTTCTTCCAGCATTCTGAAAGCTTTTAAATTTATATAATATTAATTAAATTCACATCTGAAGGCATCTATATAAATGTCACATGACATACAGATGAAGACCAAAAGGAAAAAGCATCAACATGTCTTGTATACTGTAAAATATAAATTTATCTTCTACACTTTTCTGAATCAAGACAAAAGTTCTTGGGATGTTGAGTACATCAAGGAAGCCAACACAGATGTATTTCTAGGATAATGTATTTTAATTGTTTTACAAAACAAACTGCAAAGTGCTATTTTGGATTTTCATCTGGAATCTTCATATCAGCTCCACTGTTACACTGACTGAGCTGTATCATTTCCCCTCACATTTTAGAGTATTTAATACAACAAAAATATCATTATTCTCCGTTAAATAAGATCATACTTGTCATCAAACTTTTTGTTGCTTTTATTTGCCTAAGCACTTTTTTTTAAAATTCAGTCTATGAATCCAGTTATATGAGCTAATTACTATGTAACAATACAGTCTCATGGCTACGTCTTCCAATCCATACATGATACACTCATACAGCCTACAGGTTTATAATTTTTTTAACTGATTTCCTATTGTAAAATCATCAACAAACAAACCAAATATTGGTATAACAGTTCTTTGCAAAAGTATTTTATGTGCAGGCATAAGGGCTTCAGCTTCTGCAAACTGCAATATCAGCACAAACACTCCTGAGTTTTGCCTCATCTATGAAATGACCATCAAGAATTCTATGCTCAAAAAATCTTTAGTCTCATTAGTGACTAAAACAAGTGTCTTAATTGTTTTCCGTTACTATAGGACAGAGTTCTTTATGTGGTATATGGACTGTGATCTCTGATGACTGGTTGTCTGCTACCCCATTGGAGTGAGTGTAGCTGGTCATGTCCTTTTTACGGGGTTTAACAGGTTCTTATCCTATTAGGGGGATTAGCAGGTTCTAATCCTTTTTAGGGGGATTAGCAGGTTCTAATCCTGTTATACTGTCATACATTGGGTTGGAGAAATTGGTCGGTTTGTTGTGGTCTTCAAAATTCTCCATTTTGTTGTACTCTGGTTCCACTGCATCCTATGAGAAAAAAAAAAAAAAAAACGAGCACTTTAGACCAATGAATAAAAAGAAAATTTCCAGTTAAGAAGCATAACTATGAAATGTTTTCACAGGCAATTTGTAAAGAAAAAAACAAAAAAACAAATATGAAGCTATACACATGAATTTTTACTATACATGCAAAATACTTCAAAGTTCCAAATCTTGTGTCTTTTGTCTCAACTGAGTATCCAAATTCAACNGTGGGTTTTTTTTTTTTTTTTTTTTTTTTTTTTTTTTTTTTTTTTTTTGCATTTGCATTTGCATTTGCGATATTCATATTAAATGAGGGCTTAAACAAAAGTCGTTTTCAGCTTTGAGACCCGACGTGTACCTCCCCCTAAACCAAATGCACTAACAAATTACCATTAAAACACCATGGTCGGGTAGAGTACTGTACAACAACTTGATAACATACATATATGTGTATATGTACAGATGCTAACCAGCGACGCACAGGTCTGATGCTTAGTAAAGAATTAGACGGCGTTCACAACCAGCTGAACCGCTCTCTATCTAGTCCGTGGATCAAATATGGCGCTTATTTGACAATGGATTCCCCGCCTCCTACTTGTGTCGTCCCAACGGGTGAGCAATTAAATCCAGACTTAATTTCAAGTGGGGCTTTCAACTAGTTAGTCTGTGGATCAACTGGTTGTGGACGCGGCCCTAACCTCTTTTAAAACAGACGTTTCGTGAAAAAATACTCCTTACATTTGACTTATCATTTGATACACCTTCCGATGGAGATCATCACAACCCAAAGCAAACATTACACTTCATATTAAATGATAACCAAGCAAAATTACTAGCAGACGAACTCTGACATGCGACATGTAATCTTGACATGGATGCAGTCGCTGTGGAACACGTGTCTGACGTCATTGATGGAGAACGTATTAAATCTCCTAGTGCGCAGTTGAGTCACTGAAATAAAAAAAAAAAAACACTTTTACAAAAGTATGTTTATGGGTTGGTTTAATAGAGCAGTTTTGAATTTTAAAGTAACCGATTTCCATAGTAATATTCAACAAACCACTGATCAACTTTTAAATAATACGGATATATATATATATATATATATATATATATATATATATATATATATATATATATATATATATATATATATATATATATATATATATATATATATACCGAGCTAACACGTTCTATGTAATCAAGGACCTTAAAACAATATCGATTCTATTCTCTTACACCGTGTACACAATGTAAAGCGACAACATTCATTATATTTCAGGGAGCTAGAAAAAGATACAGGCGCTCGGATAACGTATAAAATCGCAACAGTGAGATTTTAGAAATAAACAGATGACAGGAGTGTAGTAAAACAAAATTTAGGAAATCTTAGAAAAAAAGAACGACATAGTCACGACATGTACACGGGGGCGGATAGGGATTTGCTGAGGTGGATTTTGGATATTTTAAAGAAAAATCGAGACCTACAAATGTAGTTACCTGTCAAAATGTTCTCATTGCTCAAGACGGAAGACGCGTTCACAGCTGGAGCACAACTCTCACCACCTGTTTACTGGCAAACGCATTCCATCTGAAAATAAGAACAGTAAATGAAATATTTTAACGTCAAGTTAAAACGTCAAACGGCAAGACTTTTACGGAAAAATATTGTTGACGTCAAGAAAAAAAATGTCGACATGTTGCCTTATTAGCAAGTTGCACCATTTTGGCAAATATCATCAACGTGAAATAACCAATGTTATCTTCCATCATCTATACAGTACTTACAACAGTTCGATACCAATTTCAGTGCCAGATTTCCGACCAACTCGTGGAAATTATAGCAATGTAACACAAGGATGCTTTCCTCTCCATCTTCTACTGACCTTGGTCCTTGCTGAACGCCTCTCACCAAAATACTCACCTGGATTACATAATAATGTACAGTTGAGCACCTTCCGTTCGGGAGCCTCGATTTTCACTTCAGTCTAATTGTTATATGATACACAGCAATCGTGCCCCCATCCCTGGAAGATGATTCGGGTTTGCTGAAATCATAATCATAAAATTATGTGATTTTTTTCCACAACAATTGTGATGTGAAATTTTAAATATAATCCAGTGCCCCTATACCCCCCATGTCCTAATGTTTACACATGGGGCAGGAAAATTACTCCCACCCCAACACAGTGTGAATGAAAATTTTGACCAGCTGAATTATAGTTCTAAACCGTACCAAAATGGCACCGTTCGCCCTATAAAATACCAAAATTTCTCGGGGACCTTCAGCGGGCCCCGCACCCCACGCCAACAAGGGAGGGGGGGGGGGGAGTCGGCCTCGCATCCGAAGACCTCCCCTTCAAATAATCCTGGATCCGCCCCTCCTATTGTACAAATTTCCTTTGTTTAAATCTACGATCAAGATCTACACGTATTTTACTTTTTATTTTTTATTTTTTATTTTATTTTTTTATTTTTGATCTTTATATGGCTCTATCAAAAAATATTCCCTGTTTTATTACATTTAGTTACAACGTAACCAATGTTTAACACTTAAGCAAGATAGTATTTCAAGGTATTTTATTAAATATCACAGAAAGATACAGAAAAAAAACTATGAGAGACGAAACAATTAATATAAATGAAAAATAAAACTTTATATAGGGATGGTATTTCTCCTGAATGCTAAGAATCGGCAGTAGGTTTTGGTTGTAAGATATATCTTGTTATCACTATCATCTAAATGTTCAAAATTGCGGAGTTGCTTCCTGCTGGAAAACAAACGGGTTTGCTCACGGGCGAAGGTTTGCTTCTACCTCAAAAAGCACAGAGTCCCAGTGAGAGTCTATGTAATGGGCAGAACGTAACTTTGTTACCGCTGTTATTTTCAACAATGCGCAGTCACACGGCACTCCCCTAGCCACATGCTGCTTCATCAACTGTCTGACGACCCGAGTTTTATATCTTGACAGTAATGATGGCTTTCCTTGTTAAAAGGGCAAAATATGAGTCAGTCGCCATAAATTGTGTGTTTCTACTAATGGCGTTAATCGCATAATTTTAAAAAGCTGGTAAACATAGAAAAAATCAACCGTTTGGGGCGAAATTTTGACGTGCACATGGGTAGATCGTCTTGACGTGGGGGTCGGGGGCCGCTGAATATAATTTAGAGGGTGAACGGTGCCATTTGGTACGGTTTAGAACTATGTCAGTCAAAATTCTAATATCAAGAGGGCAGTATTGGTGTGTTTTTTTCAGAAACCGAAGGAGGGGGGGCATGATGTTGTTTATACTGAATTAATTTTGTTTACTTAAAAAATAGAATAAAGTTAATGAGATAAAAAAAGTATTTAAAAATATTCGATAAAATATTTTCTTATAAGGCGTATCATTCAACTTATATTTTATGGTGATGAATCTGATGAAATACAGTATAAAATATTGAACAAACAACTTAAATAAATTAAACCGAGAATTTAAGTCTTTGATTAAACCAGCCCGACTTATTCCACTATTAGTTTATTAATTTTCTCGCGTTATTGAAATCTGGAGTTTTTAGATAGTACTAGCTATATATCGCAGAATAAAGCTCGAAAGATTGCTAACGCATTGCATGAAATTGTTTTCAATTTTAATTTGTTTAGTTTATTTAAAAGCAACAGTTTTACAGCGACGGGCTACTTATTGCCCCACCCCTTTATAAGGAACGGACAAAACCGGTAATTTTTAATTTTACCTGGCAACTTTCGGCATTTTTTTCCGTAGCTCAGGAAAAAATGACAAGGTTTTACTTTTTATATCATTAGTTTTTAAAAATGATACAAAAATAGTCATCGGGTTTAAAAGAAGATAAGTATGATTGAAGTGATGTGTTCAGTTCGTATACGAAGTTCTGATATCGTAGGAGCACCAAAGAAAGGATTATGGAGCAACAAACATCGACAACAACGTTAATTCAGGTATAGTCATTTATCATCATAAAATAATTTTAAAAAAATTACAACTGATTTTAAGTACAATTAAGAACGCCTGGGAAAGAACCTGGAACTCTTTCACCTTGTTAAATTCTATGTAGTCTCTCGGTTGAAATAAAGAACCCGACGTTTTTTAACGCGATGCAAATAAAAAAAATGCCCTCTACCTCCAAAATGTTACGACATGTATTGTTATAGACATGTATGAATCAAATTCAAACAGGCTTATTCAACTTTGATGGAAGCTGTCAAGCTCACACGACTATGAATGTTTAATAAACAAACTTCAAACAGAATTACTATAATTTTCTCCCCGAACACGTAAAATTCCAATATTCACATCCTTTGATTGACAAGGTGCCAATCATATTCAGTAAGTTTTGATGGCTGCTGTCAAGTAATAACAGCTTGATTGACGGGTTATATAAACAAACGTCAATCACATTCAATACACTCTACTCTCAGACCATGCAAAGCTCAAACTTTTATATCCTTTGATTGACAAGGTGCCAATCATATTCAGTTAGTTTTGATAGTTGCTGTCAAGTAATAACAGCTTGATTGGCAGGTTATATAAATAAACGTCAATCATCGTGCACTGTGATTTCTCTCGCTGTGAAACAGTGAGTACGCCGAAAGAGGGCGCTCAAATCTGAAGTTAGGACAGCAATTAACTTACAAAGTATTTCAAGAGAATACATGCAACCTGTTTCCAAGACTAGTTCTCTTTCTGAACCCTTCAGCATGTCTAATACGATACTCTAGATTACAAACTATTTTGTAAAAAGAAGAATTTAGTAAAAGAAACCAATTTAAAAACAGATTCAAGTAAAGAAATATGACATTTGACGTTATTCTGGAGGTAGCGCATGGGTCATTTCAAAATAAGAACAACCATAAAAATGTATACGTGTATACGTGTACCTCAGTATGTGCGTGGAAGAAGGTCGAATAAATGTTTTCCCATTATGGGTGGAGTATTGACAGATTATTTTACTGTCAATGTCTACTTTCTGCAAAATAATAAATAAATAAATAAATATATTCGTGTTGTGGTTGAGGTAAGTGGTTTAATTTTTGCGGGGCTAAATGTTAGCAAGGACTTGTGATAATAAGTGGATGGGAAACAAAGATATTAGGCCCACTGTGAACAACTCCCTAGACATTTTCATGCGCGTCGACCATTCCTATTTAACAAACAAACCGCTACCTCGCTCTTGTAAATATTTCGTTGGTTTATTAACAATTCGATAAAAAATATTTCAATCACAACCAAAACTGGAAAAGAAAGATTTCTAGTCGTGCACGCGAGAACAAGCAGGTGTTTCATGGGAGCCAAGTAATGTCAACAAATCATTATAAATTAATGCAAATATTATTTTATAATACGGGAGGGATGAAAAACCTTTCCGCTCGGTTTAATAATTACACGAGAATGGGAGTCACCGTGATACTCCACACAGAGGAAGATGAGAATTATGCGGCAATGTTTAAATATTTAATGAAAATATAACTATAATCAAAATGTAATCATTAAAGGTGGGGTGCTAATGCGCCACAAAAACACCGGGTTTGTGCTGAAATAAAAATAAAACAAACGGGATTTACCCTCCAAAATATGCAGACAAAAATAATGCACAAAGGAAAATGAACGCTTTGTGGTCAGATCTTATCTGTGACCCTTGTAGAGAGTTATAATGCACCCTCTGAAATTATACAGGGGTCTCTAATATAGCTTGTTACAAAAGAAGGGATACACGCTTCTCAACACCTTGGTGTAAACTTGGACATGGACATGTCCATGGTGTAAAATAGGATTCACAAACAAATATGATGGGTATGTAGTCAGAGAACGTGGTCTGCCTGATTATCTCAAATATCCGGGTCGATTCAACAAGTTTAAAAAGCCTAGTAGCGACCCCTGTATGACAGAATACACTGTCCGTACACTGTCACATGATTATACCTCTGCAAAATAACCATCCGTTACTTGTTACTTAGGGACCATTCCCAGACTCTATCGTACCATAGAAGTAGAGAAAATGGAATGCCAACTCCCGCGAGATTTGTATTGCCCTCTGTGTTATGAGCTTGTGACCACGAGGGTTGGGCGAGAGTTGGGGAGTTTTTTTGCTATTTAAGGGAAATGCATACCTGTACCAATTCTACAGTAGACTATCAAAAAAAAGAACCTACTTCTCCTTCAAATTGTGTCTAAGGGACCATTCCCAGACTCTATTGTACTAACTGTGGATCGATCTATCTCCAAGGGAATTCTCGCTAAATTGCAATTAACTTAAGCGGCTTAGATGTCTGTCACGCCTCTTGAAACTGCCAGGGGGTAATTCATTATCGTTTAGCATCTTTAGTAATCGTGCCAGACATCCAAGTCGCTTAAGCTGAAAGCAGTTTATCCATAAAACCCTTGGGGATGGATCGATCCTGTTAGATCAATCTAGGTATGGGAAGCCATTCTTTATGTGTTGTCCACTGAGTATGTCATACAAGAGTGTTATCTTATATAATTCTTTGAGCCTATATAATTAGACCTCTTTAAATACTGTTATTATTTTGTTATTCAAAGCGCTGGCCGTGGGCAGAAAATGTACCTTTAAAAGGAAAGTGCTCCGAAGACAAATTTATAAGGTACGCAGTCTCGCCATAGAAGTATAGGGTATCTGGATCCTAGGTCTTGACGAAGTGTGCTGGAAGTTCAACAGCTCTGGCATACAAACACAGCTTCCATTTCGATCAAAAGGTTTGATATTTCTGGGAAAGCATCTTTGCCTCAGTTGTCTAGATCATTCTGATGGAAATTCATCTGTGTAGTCTGTTGATAACTTATAAGACTATTAACTTTTTACTGTCTACTAGTACACTAAATCAACTAAATCAAAGCTGCACCTGTTTTAGGAGTACTTTGTGGTATGAAACAGACATTCACCCATGTGGGGACAGTACTAAAACTGAGACACTAATTTCAACTTCTTAGTAACACACACACACACACACACACACACACACACTGAGGAAGGTCCCGGTGTGACCAAAAGGTTTGCTGGGTATAGCTTTAATTTAGTGAAGAAAGTGAAAAGTTTTATCTTATAACTTATTTAGATTATGCTGGTTATATATAGTCAAGATGGTACTGCCTCTGTCACTGTTTTGCAGACTCAGTAATACGTATGTAGACGATTGAAGATGTTATTTTGATTCATAATTAATTTTCTATATTTAGAGCTATTAAATTTGAAAAGCAATGAAAATTGCACTAGTTGTCGCTGCATCGTTACTGGTGGTGTATTTGGTGGAAGCCACCAGTGAGAGATCAGGGAACGAAGTTCATTCTGTCCACAAACGGTCTTCTCTCATGAAAGGTCTTGCTCGAGAAAGAGCATGCGGCTCCACTACCTGCAAGTACGTATATCAGTATTTTTGGTATTGACTATAAAATAGCCAATTGAGAATAAAATATTCTGATTGTAAGATATTTTTAACATTTGTCGGGTGTTTATCAGTTATTTTTATTTGCTTTAGCATGATTTACAACGCGTAGTCCATTAAAATTTCTTAATATTATAGCTGCCCTTACAGTGTTTATTGTGCCCCTCTCTGCAAGGAAAGTTCCGGAAAAATGATATAAGTAACTTTATTAAAGGCTTAGAGTGCACGTTGGGCCTATATATATAGCAAATAAATGAATGAAAATAAATAAAGACATAAATAAATGAATGACTTCCAGGTTGCTTGACGGGACCCGGAGACGTAACAGCCATCTTTATATTGGTACCCAGAACAAATAAACTGTTCAGTGTATTTTCTACTTTCAGGGTGTCGGGCTGTGAGTCCGGGGGTGGCTGGTGGTTTGTGTCGAATTCTGCGGGATGGAACATCCGGGGCTCTGACCGCGGTTGCTGTGGCAACTACAGTGGCTGCTGCAAGCATGCTTCTGACGCATGCTATGTACACGACTACACGTGTCGCTGTTGTATACCTAGCGTGTATTGTGGACCCCAGTGTCAAGAAGAACCAGGCTGTTGACATATATTATTATTTGAAACAAGCTCACATTTACCAGGCAATTCCCGGTCTTTTATTATCTAAAGGCTCCTAGGCATTGCTGACATTGGAAACGGTTCCTATTGAGATTGTGGTACTGTAGATTTTTCATTATACGGTATAAACTTTGTGGAATCTACCTTCTGCATGGGCTTCTGAAAATGAAATGACTACATGAATGCAAGATCGCCGCCAAGATTGTAAATGAACTCACGTCAGATTAACAGTTTCAGCGGTCATCATATATCATTATATGCATTACAATAATAAAATAAAACGAAGTTTGCCCGTAGATAATGCTTCATTGTGTCCTCTGACAAGTACCCGTGTATGGTATCATTGCTCCCTGCAAGATTTAAGCTCGAACATCAAATTATAAAGTACCCTGTGTACAGAAAACTCCTGCCCTATACCAAGCAAATGTGTTAAGTACATGTAACAAAATATCTACGTAAGGACTGCTATGCATCGCAGTCAAATTGAGCTCAACTCTGAGAAATACTATCTACATGTATTTTGACCGAAGATAAATTAATCTGCAGTAGTTCTCAGATAAATGGCAAACATGATAAAATTGAAAAAGCACAATGAATTTATTTCAAGTATAAAATTAAAAGAATGTTCATTACACTTGACAACTCATAATTTTATAAAAGTTTATAAGTATTGATAAGATATGTATTTACAAAAACGCCTAATTCGGAAGATAAAGTAAATTCTGTATCAAGGTTATTAACAGTGCGTCCATTTTAATGGATGTATTGGCCATGTTTTATAAATAATGAGAAAAGGCCAGTTCTTTTAAGACCAGTTCTTAAAAGACTGACAGTTACATTTTTTCAGTGGATCACTGCAACGCTTGTATACGGAGGCATGAAGGTGATTGTAACCTGTGTAATGCCCCTATTTTACACAGACCACGAATCCCACGCATCGCCAGAAATTGACAAATTTCAGGATTCATGACAATTCTTGAGATTTTGCCAATATTCTGGTCTAATTCGACACGCTGTACGATTCAGTTACGATACAGGTGCGATATTGTTACGAATATTCGTGGGATTCGGCTGGAATCGCACGAATATGTTTAGGAATTCACTATGGAATTTGGAATCGGGAGTTCGTGGCCAAAATTTTGAACAGCTCAAAATTTTTGCCACGAATTCCCGATTGATCAAGAATTGCAAGAACTGACTACGATTGTATACGAATCTGTTAAGAACTTCACGAACTGATTACGATTCAACCACGAATCCTGAAATTTGTCAATTCCTGGAAATTCGTAGGAATTGTGGTCTGTGTGAAATAGGGGCATCAAAGTTTTTGCCACGAATTCCCGTTGGTCAAGAATTGCAAGAACTGACTGCGAATATATACGAATCTGTTAAGAACTTCACGAACTGATTACGATTCAACCACGAATCCTGAAATTTGTCAATTCCTGGCGATTCGTGGGATTCGTGGTCTGTGTGAAATAGGGGCATAACAGGAACGACTATCCTAGGAATGGAAATCCGAGGTCCCATATGATTAGTAAAGGGTAGGGTTAGTTGGAGTATTAGGGTTAGTATACGAATGTCACCTGTACAAAGTAATGGGAAGATGACTACAGTTTCTAGCGGACTTCAATTTCTGTTATACCGGCCTGGATTTAAGTTACCTGCCGATATTTAAACGAACAACTGCTCGTTTTGGCCAAAAACATAATTTTCTTGGGTAAAAGACGATTTCCCATACTTTCGATGACATATTGACCTGTAAGACCAACACAAAGTACCAATTTAGCCGGGGGTAGAATTGGTACAGTGGAGTTAACTAGGGGTGTTACACCCACGGTTGCCCTTACTGACGAGTTTCGCTATTCATGCAGCCCACCCGTGGAGACAGTGCTGTAGTTTTGCTTGTTAGGTGTAGGCCTAATTCATCTTCTTTGTCATTTTATATATTCAGATCTTAACCACACTGACATTTGGGACAATACATGTCAGGGGCGGATCCAGGATTATTTGAAGGGGGGGGGGGGGGGTCCGCGGATGCGAAGCCGACCCCCCCCCTTGGCGTGGGACTCGGCGCCCGATGAAAAGCCACGAAAAATATTGGTATTTTAGAGGGCAAACGGTGCCATTTGGTACGGTTTAGAACTATGATTAAGCTAGTCAAATTTCTAATTTCAAGAGGGGACCAGAAATCGAAAGGGGGAAATTTTTCTAATGTAAGAATAGTATGAAGTGATCGAGAGCAGTTTGTGGTCATTTTATTTCGAATTAATTTAGACACCCACTTTGGATTGATGTGCCTTCCAGAGCAGAAGCCAGAAGAAAAATCCTCCAAGGCACCATCATTTACACAGACACGGAATATGTCTTCAGGGATCTGATTGACAGATTAGTCTGGTAGGCGACAATACATTATGAGATGTGATTGTGCGTACATTAAAATTTTTTCAATGAAATCTCCAGGATAGCTCTAACCCATTGTAGCATAGTTTTTTTTTTTAATGCACTTATTTTGATGAATAACTTTTTACTTCGTAAAACTCTTCCGTGGTGA